GGGGGTAGTCTGGTATATATAAGACCGGCCACGAAGCGACGGGGAGGTAATGAGTAATTGAACTGCAGTCAGAAAGTGTGTAATTGAACTGAGTATTGTTGAAGTCGATCACGTTAGACGTACGTTGAGAATTATAGCGCGACTGTTGAAATTAAGTGTATCACAAAGTTATATTGAGAAAGAATAAACCAGTTTTATTGAAGAAAGGACTTGTGTCGCTAAAGTTTCGTTGGAACGAATTTACGGAAAATTAACTAACGAACGGAGACGTAACAGTATTGTTAAAGAAAACAGACAGACCCAACTTCTTGAAGGTGTTCATATAACTTGATACGTGTGTGAGCTGCAGTGAATGCTGCCAAAATATATTTGTTTGGTTTCACTGTGGAAGAAATTCATATTTATGCTTCCACTGAAGAACTATGACATCATCATTGATGAAAACTAAATCTGTAAATAAAAAATATGGTATTTAGTGAAAGTGTCAGGAAGGAGTTAATATTTATCTTCAAACATGCCCCCACGACCTTAAGATGAATTTAACCGAAGGATAGACTCTGGTCTCTCCCTGGATTTGACTGGATGTGGTCAGGATTCAGAGCTACTTTTTCTATGAGAATAGAACTGAATATATGCATTTTGAGAATTTTTAGTGTTGCATTGGGTAAACCATCAGGAACTTTCTTGTTTTAATTTTTAAAATGCGTTTTAATACCCTCTAAAAAAATCCGTTTATTTAGATGGGAAATAATATACTTCATAAGTGCAAACGATTGTTTACCCACACCCTCGTTACTTCCTCAGTCTCCCAGGTTCCTATGAAGGCTCTTTCTTCATCGGAATGTCGACAGTACATATAATTTATACAGTTAGTTTATTATGACATCCTAGAGACAGTGCAGGATGATAAAAATTTGTGGAAGGACAACTTTACACTTGATAAACCAAACAAGTTATTTTATTTAAGGTTGGAACTTACAGTCCTTGACTGTTTTGTTGTAACATATCTTCTGCTATGTGGTGGCATTCCATAGCTGTTTGTTTGCTCTATACATCGTTGTTTGTCAACTTATTATTCCTAGAGGTCATTATCATAACAACTTTTATAAATCCAATAGATTAAATATATATATATATCCCTCCTTTAGCCAATATACTTGCAGACTCAAGTATATTGACTTGTCGACAATTATTTAGATGCTGATGACTTGTGGACAATTGCTAAATATTGGTTTTAACATTGATCATATGTGGAAGTACTGTCACAGCATATTTGTTAAAATCCTACTGCCAGTAATTAAAATAACGGTAATTAAATATATACATATGTGAAGGTACACCCTTGTAAAAACTCGTGTGAGATAAAGTAACATGTGTAAAATATTATGTCAAGTTATAAACTAGCGAAAGGGTTATTACGTTAAAATAACGGTAATTAAATATATACATATGTGAAGGTACACCCTTGTAAAAACTCGTGTGAGATAAAGTAACATGTGTAAAATATTATGTCAAGTTATAAACTAGCGAAAGGGTTATTACATAATAAGCGTTTTATTGACGATGTAATATTTTGTTGTGTAAAGTCAAATTAGTAAAAGTATAAGTTTCAATTATTGTATGAAATTGCCCTTTTTAGGGCGATTTAAACCTATAGTCTTGTTCTGTGTGCATCATTGTGTCATGATGGCCTAGCAATATGTTCTCTGCCTCGTGGATGGTCTAGCAAAATAACAGATTTGTTAAAATGGACAGCCATTAAAATAATAGTAATTAATTGGCGTTTTCATGTAAATACATCCTTAATATACATGAATGTAGATCAGGTTGCAAAATTGAGAAAATAAATAAATTATTAAAAAGAAATACTGTCTCCAGATTTTTTGTTATATACATGTCACTGAAAATCTTTAATCACTTGATTTAGTAAGATATAGTCCTTTTAGGACAGGAAATTTAATTAATTAATAAATTAGTACTGAAAATCCTTAAACACTTGATTGATATTTTAAAAATATGTTTAAATTATTATATTATCATCCTTTTAGGACAGGAAATATAATTAATAATTTAATGATAAGCATCCTATTTAGGACAAATGAATTATAAATGATTTAATGAATTAGTATTAATAGTCCTTTTTAGGATGATTTAATTATAAACGATTTCATCGATTAATGAATTAGTGATTAATTATAGACATGTTGGGACATGTATTGTAGGCAGCCTAGTAATTCATCCTCTACTATCATGTAATCATCCATTATGGCTACCTGTCATGGTGGCCTAATAACGCGCCCTTTGGTTGTAAATTTTGGAACTATGACATCACGGCCGCCTTTCATGGCGGCCTAACATGCGCCTTCTGGTGGAAACTTTCGGAACTATAACGTTTTCATCTTTAGCGGTCTCCCCTCCCCCTTTCCCTGAGACAGCCAATCAGCATGAGACAGGATCCTTTAGATGCTGAAGTGGGGGATAACTGCTAAGGTACCTACACAAAGACATCAAAGAGTTAAAACAAAACTCCAGCAACCAGTAAAAGTAAATCAATGTTAAAGAAAATTTTAAATTAAAATCGTAATACCACTCAAAATAAAAGAGAAGAAAGCCAACTCAAATTAAAGCAAAATATATCAAAATCAAAACCACAATTTACAATCAAAATTATAACTCAGATACCATAATTTACAATGGAAAATCAAAACTAAGTGATAAAAGCACAACAAACAACCAGTTAACACATTAACGAAATTAACATGTTATACACAAAAGTACATAACATTGAAAGCATATGTGTTGGATAAACAAAACTGTTTAGAGTAGGCATTATTATTTAATTTAGTTTGTGAGTTAATATTTAATGATTATTTAGTTTTCATAGCAAGAGAGTTAAAAGTTGATCATTTTATAGGCGATAATTATGACAAGTTTGGCTATGTAACTCAGTTAGAGTCGTCTGTTGAGTTCGCAATTACATTATTGTCGAGGCTTTACTAATATTGTTGACGCCCCATTACTCGAATCTTCGGTATTTTTCGAGGCCTCAGTTGGGCAAGGTATAAATATAGGTGGCTTGAGAGCGCAATTTAAGAAAAACTAAACAAGTGAAGATAGAAAAATTAGTTAGTGAAAGAAAACGTGAAGTTAGCCAGTGTGAGAGTGATTAGTTATAATGGGCAACATTTTAAAGTGAGTTTCACAGTTTAATTGATGAGGAGAATAATTTGTCATGTCAAAGTAATTGAACCCGTCTGTGTGGACTTTGACGAAAAGGAGACAATTATTTGAAGTTCATGATACAACTGTGGTAATCCACGGAGTAACGTAAGTGAATTATTCACTGATACTATTGTGATAAGAGCAGAGAAAATAGTTTGTCTTGTCGATTGGATTTTAAAGTAATTGAATCAGCCTAAGTGGACTTTTGACAAGAAAAGAGAATTATTTAGAGTTTGAGATACAACTATGATATCCATAGTGTAAGAAATTTTTGTACATACTTTTAATTTGTTTTGAATATATTATTTTAAAACAAGTGAAGTGTGTGCTGTCCATTTATTGTCGAATTTATCAACAACAAGTCACAGACACCTACTGTAGAAGAATCTTCAGCCCACTCATATTTAAAACCCTGACAACATGAAACAGAATCATAAATCAAAATATTAAATACACATAAAAATAAAACTTACTATAGATTAATTACAGAATAACAGAGAATACAAATTACTTCAAGGTACAAAAAATTATCATTATGATAAAAACACAATTATCATAAAACTTCAGATATCAAGAATACTGATCTGGCAGCTGTGCTATTCAGGTGTCAAAATGCATATCAGAAATATTCAGAAAGAGTTCCTCCAGAATTGAATCTGGATCACTATCACCCATTTGACTGTGGTAGGTATACAGTTTCTTATCAGCAGTTGAAAAGTTAGACATTTGAACAACGAACCAACCACGATGTTGCTTCGTTTCCAATAAGTAGAACTGACGACTTGTCTGTTGGATGGTTCACCATAGTCTTTTTGTGAGTGCAATATACTGTCAGGCAATTCACATATATCTTCGCTTCTTTATCCAGTACTATAGAAAACTCCAAGTCAACTCAATCTATGATAGATCAGAAGTTCAGGTTAAACGTTTCAACCAATCATATCACGACCCAACGCTTGAGAACAGAACTTATTCTGACAACCAGATTCTTTAGTTATTCTGTTACTTGTTTGTATATTCATTTGTCGAACTAGTCTCCGTGTGATGTTGGGTCCTTCTTCACATGCAATGTGTTGTGACTGGCACCTCAGTGTATTCTCCTGTTCCTGCCATTCTTCTCACGTCACTGCGATACATTGGACAGAAGCGTTTCTTATTTTCGTGATCACAGTCAACATGCTCTATTTTATTAGATATTTCTTCGCGTTTTTATACTACCTTTTTGAAATGATCATATCACTCATTTTGCAGGATATTTTCTTTCTAAATTACTCTCTCTCTCTCTCTCTCTCATTTCTCATAGTCCTTGCAAGCTGTTGAGCCGATGGCAGATCTCTGTCATTACTT